GAATATTATTCTATATTTGCAACTAATGAACAAGTAAGACAACATAATGAAAAAGTAATACAACACATACAAGGTAAAGATATAATTATAGAAGCACAAGACAAACATGGAAATTCCTGTCCTACATATTTCACGCTGCCAGATGACACAAGAAAAACACAAGGACTACATAAAATATTACATTTGAAAAAGAAAATGGCAATTGAAATAACACAAAATATAGCAACAAAAGATGGATTAGTAAATGGAGCAGATGGAGTATTACAAGATGTAACCCAGATTGAAGAAGAACAAATAATGTGGATAGAATTCCCAAATATAAAAACAGGTGAAAAAACAAGAGCTAAAGAAAACATAACAATAAAGCAAAATAATGAAAAAAACTCTTTCACTTGTTTTGTTTTCTTCTTGTCTGTAATTTTTATTTTTTATTTTTTTGCAATTTAAATCTGGCATTTTTTCTCCACTTGTTTTTTCTGAAGTGTCTGAGGATGGTGGAGTGTTGGAAGCTTTAAGAAATTTTTGGTCACCAGATGTTGATTGGCAAGAACACCAAGACAGAGTTGAAGCGTTGATTGACAATCTCATCATGAAATGCTACATTGTCTAGATTGTCCTCTCTTTATGTTTATTCACTAGTAGCTCCTTCAGCTATCTAGCGAATAAAAAATCATGTTTAGTTTACCTCTTGGTCACTTTCTTCTGGCATACTGGTAAGAGAAATTCTAGAAGCAGAACGAATTACCAATGAGATCTAGAAATCCGTCTGCAAACTGCTATTGAACATAAGACAATGCGAAAGGAGAGAGAAGCAAAACGAGTTACCAAGTATCATAGCGAAAGTTGCATTTAGCATTGCAAGGCACCGGGCAGCATCTATTAACAAAGATTTAGCCATGCCATTTCCCAGAACCTGAGCATTAAGAATGGTCGCATTCCAACAAAACAAGCAACACCTGAGAGATGCCTTTTGTTTCCGACGAATCTTGTCTCCTGGGATATTGCTTTAGATAAAAACGATAACTAAAGTTATTGCAACCACTAACCTCTCTGCAATCGTTTTCTCCTCGACAACGCAAATAACACGGATTTGGGTCGCCGAAATAAAAAATAAAATAAAAAATTACAGATGAGAAGAAGAGAAACTTTTTTTCGTGACCTCAATGCGGGAGTAGTGGCAGCTTGTATGACAACGATCAATCTCCCTGAAAAACCATAAAGAGAAGATCTACTTACATGATGGAGCACATATGCTCAATCCTTGGCCTACCTATCAAAATCCCAGCCGGCTCTCCCAACACCATCGAGCATATCCCCTTCCAAGAAGGATAGGTTGATAGCTGATAGCAGTGGTGTGATGCAAATGTCTCGATTCCAGGCCGCAATAAAGAAAGCTCTTTATAAACTTCAACGTAAGTTTTCTCTTTCATTTTCGTTGTTTTTTTTCGTGCCAGCTGAAAATGCTGCTGTAGCCAAGAATTGTCGACGGGCATACGTAGATCAGTGTTCAGCTACTTCTGGTTCTTTTCTTTCGTAAAACGCAGCGAGGTTTTTCATTTATGTTGGGGGTGTACATGAGTGAAGCCTTGCACGTCCCTTCCATACAGGTCTCTGTCTAGTTTGGATAGAACCTTCTTTTGTCTTGAAAGCTGGCAGGAGTGTCGTAAGTAGGCTATGCTTGCCGGCAACTGCAATCCCAATCATGCCACAGAGCATACTGATTTGGTTATCGCCGCTGAGGAGGCCAAAAGGTGCGAGCATCTGGTTGACAACCAAAGTACAGCATCTTCCTGTAGAGGTGAGAGCTTCCTGGATGCGGTCAAGCGTCTCGATGCCAAGCCTGAGCTCCTGGATCTCGATGAAGAGTACCAGAGACTAGCGTTTCACCAATCGATGAGAGATGCAATTGTCTGGAAACTCTGTAACGACTTTTAATTCTCACGTTACAGAAATAGCATGGCTAAATCCTTGTTAAATGCTGCCAGGGAGCCTTGCAATTCTTGCAACGCAACTTTCGCTATAATACATGGTGATTCGTTTTGCTTCTAGGCCTGGTCCCTGAGCGGACTTAGGCAATACTACAGACTCTGCATTGACACTTCTTTTGGCAAACAAGCGGTTGATGTCACCACGGCTGTTACAACAAGGACAAAAACTACTGACACGGGGTACATGGAATGTCTATATTCTGGTTGTGTTTCAGAATTTGTACAACATTGATCCGGAAAGTATTCAATTTTTATGTAAGTGGTTTTCAAGAAGCTAAAATAAGCTGCCAACTCAGAGCTACGCTTTCGGCGGTAGAACGCGTGACGTTCCAGAGGATACGAGGATATAGGAGCGGATTTTAACTCGAGTATAACCACAGTAGATTGCTGTAGAATATTCCGGAAGTAAGTCACTTTTGGATGCAGCCCTCCAAATAAAGGATTGCTGTGATTTTATAATTGGGAAGGTGGCCATGATTGATGAACTAAGTTAGTACACAGCAAAGGATCTAGTGCCATATGAAGGTAGTGTGGCGACTCATGGGAAATTTTTCCCTCGGGATGCAAAAGGTGTGAGGGCTGTGATCGTCTTTATTGTTGACGAGGATAACGACGAAGCCATGGAAGTGAGAGCGGAAAGGGTATGTTATGGAAATTTTTTTTCCACTTTTTAATTTTTTTCTCCTTTAGGTGTCTGAGGATGGCCAAGTGCTAGAAGCTGTAAGACATTTCTGGTCACCGGATGTTGATTGGCAAACATTGTGTGTCTGGCAAGAACACCACGATAGAGCTGAAGCGATGATAGATGATTCCATCAAGAGAGGCGAGATTCTTTTGTGCTAAAACGCTATTACTCTTTAGAAAACGTCTAAAACAAAACCATGTTTAGTTTACCTCTTGGTCTCCTTCTACCATATTGGTAAGAGAAGTTCTTCGAAAATTTCAGCAGCAGCAACTCAAAGTGGGATTTAACATTTGAATATGGATAAATATCTGGCTCCACCGCAGTGTGGATCATTGTCACATGCTTCTGCGGGGGCATCTTCTTCCATTGCCTTCTAATCCTCTTGCAGCGCCCTAAACTTTGAATCAGTGCCTTGGCGGCACGCTGACGTGGCAGCAATGAATGCATCCTCTTCAGAAATCGAGCATATCCCCTTCCCTTCCCGCCTAAATTCGCCCTAGTCGTGCCCAAGTATCTTTGGTATATTCTCCGCATCTTTAACTTCACGGCCAGCAGAACACCGAAGGAGAAGAAGATCTCTGCCTAGGGTTTTACAGATCGATCGATGGATTTCTAGGCGCTCGGCAGCATTGAGAAATCATCCACAAGGTACATTCTTTCTTCCCTTGCTAGGTCGCCAATCGCCATAGCTCACTGGGATTGTCTAGATCTGCGGCAGAATCCAGTGCGGGATTGATCGCTCAGGCTCTCTAGGCCGGGATTTCTTGGACTGGATGCCGGATTATCACGGCTTCACCTCTTTTGCAATAGCATCGATGCATGAGCGCGTGGAAGCGACTGTTCCAGCGGTGCTGTTGGCGTGATCGTCGTATTGGAGAGCGTGGTTCTCATCCACCAGCTGAGAATCCGGGCAGGCAGGGTAGATCGAGCTCCCACGGCTCCAGAAAATTGGTAAGCTATCTTCTAACTTATAGATCGACGTGCATAACTCATGAAGCTCCTCTTGCAGGAAGGACGAGCTTCCACTATCTCGCCGCCAAATCCACAGCCAACTGTGACTAGTTCTAGCAGAGGAAAGCATTGGTACGTTCTTCTTTTAAACTGGGAACTGACAAGTTTCTATCCAGTTCTTAGTTCCAGACGCTAGACTTCGAATGCAATGAAAGAGAGAAGAGAGAATCTGGACATTCTCAAGCCCGAGATCATTGACATGGTTGTCAAGAAGATGAAGCATAACACATATCTCTCGCTCGAGTTCTTTACGCTGGCCATGAGAATCTCCAGCTTCCGGCACGACGTGGTGATGGTCATGATCCTTGGAGTCGATGGCAACTATTTCATGGCGATCACAGACATGCCCCGTGGAAACGATCTCTACGTGAAGACGAAGTATGACAGGAAGCTGCGGCCGTCACCTCGTCCCAGACACATTATCCTGGCCAAGACGATCCCTGGTTTCCAGCATGACCTGGCCAACTACTCAACGATGATCATGATCCTGGGAAACGCTGGTAACTATCTCATGGCCAAGGCACTCTTCACTGAGATTCAGGAGCTCGGGCTTTGCATCGACATGGTTGCAGCCAACAACATAATCCGCTGCTACACAAGCGTGATCCAGGATGCTCTTGACCTCCAAATTGGGAAACTCTGTGGTACCATCGGGATTGCGGTTGCTGGCAAGCATGGGAGCTTCGTGGTATTTTTCGACAGTCTCGTAACGAAGATTGCATCAGATCAAATTGGCCAACTATATCTAGAAGAGAAGGACAGGGAATACCAGAAAGTGACTGTGATTCGTGACGAGCCACAACTACAAATCGGCATTGCTGGGTCCGTAAGTGATGCTCGCTGCATCATAATGGTACTGAAGATTGAGATGTCAAGTCAGGCTCAGCATGGAGTCACCATGACTTGTGAGGCAGCTGCAAATTTCGTCTTCCAGCGCTGCGTGGCTGATGAGCACTGTACGAGATCAAGCTTTTTCATTTTTGACAACAAGAAACTCTTCGCTGTTAAGAGAGACAACACGCGCCAGTACCAGCTCTTGCAATTGGACGCAGTGGAACAGCCGTTTTTGACTATCGGTTCTGGTGGCCCGCATGCCGAAGGTATTCTGCGAGATCCACGGCCAGGTGTGGTTGGATTTTGTTTCCTTGAGATTGGATTAAGCTGCTTTTGAATTCTGCAGGGCAAGCTCACGGGAAGAAAGCCACTCTGGGCCAAATCACTAATCTTGGGCTCGATGCCCTCGCAGAAGCATGCGACAATGATCCACATTGCGGCGGAGACAAATATTATGCATATTCAAATGTTAAATCCCACTTTGATGAGCTGTTGCTGAAATTTGCGAAGAAGAACTTCTCTTACCAATATGCGAGAAGAAAGAGACCGAGAGGTAAACTAAACATGGCTTTGTTTTAGACATTTTCTAAGGAGTAATAGAATTTTAGCACAAAAGAATCTCGCCTCTCTTGATGGAATCATCGATCATCGCTTCAGCTCTGTCGTAGTGTTCTTGCCAGACACACAATGTTTGCCAATCAACATCCGGTGACCAGAAATTTCTTACAGCTTCTAGCACTTGGCCATCCTCAGACACCTAAAAGAGAAAAAAATTAAAAAGTGGAAAACAAAAGCCATAGCATACCCTTTCCGCCCTCACGTCCATGGCTTCGTCGTTATCCTCGTCAACAATAAAGACGATCAAAGCCCTCACACCTTTTGCATCCCGAGGGAAAAATTTCCCATGAGTCGCCACACTACCTTCATATGGCACTGGCAAATCCTTTGCTGTGTAGCTCAAGAGGTAGTACTCTCGCCCACTTAGTTCATCAATCATGGCCACCTTCCCAATTATAAAATCGCCCTTATAATTCTTGACCATGGCTTCCATCATCTGCCTGGCAATCGCCTCCATCGCGACCTCGACCTAAAACAATGCCTGGACAGCAATCCTTTATTTGGAGGGCTTGCATCCAAAAGTGACTTACTCCCGGAATATTCTACAGCAGTCCTTTATTTGGAGGGTTGCATCTTCATTAAAATAAAATCATCAAAACAGCTTACTATAATCCGTTGGTCGCATGTTTTCTTGGTGGGCGCTGCAAGACCCTATAAACAATTAATGAATGAATGAATGAAAACAGTGCTGCTATGTTTCAGAATTTGTCCAACATTGAATCCGGTTTTCAAGAAGCTCAAATAAGCCACTAACTCCAGAGCTACACTTTCGGTGTCTTTGCCTACGTTCCAGCGCCTGGATACAAGGACATAGGAGTGGACTTTAACTCCGCCCGAGTTTAAGGTACACACTCTCCGCTTGTTTGCCAAAAGAAGTGTCAATGCATAGTATTGCTTAAGTCCCATCAGAGACCAGGCCAAGAAGCAAAGCGAATCACCGTGTATTATAGCGTTGTGAGCATTGCAAGGCTCCCCGGCAGCATCTAACAAGGATTTAGCCATGCCATTTCTGTAACTTGAGAATTAAAGTCATTACAGACTTTCCAGGCAATTGCGTCTCCAGCCTCCCATCGACTGGTGAAACGCTACTCTTTAGGAAACAGTGAGGTGGCAGTTGCAGCAGAGGGAATGAGACTCTGAGACGGCTGAAATCTGGACAGACTTAAGCGTTGGATCAACATGGTTCTCAAGAAGCTCGAGCACAATGCATCTCTTGGGCTAGTGAAGGCTTCAACTCCGTTCCCCGAGTCCAAGGTACACACTCTAAGATCTCGTTGTCTTTTCATAGCAGTTTGCAGACGAATTTCTATCCGGGACTGCAAGCTCATCACCCTGCTTACAAGCATACAGCAAGGGAAAGCGGTGGAATCCAAGTATCTCACGTATGTCAAAGTAAGTCGCTCGAAAAGCTTACAAGAAGAGCGTAACACTTTTTATGCATAGGTGAAAGCGTTCCCAGTAGTAGGACACATCGATGTCGATGGTGGGGTTGTGACGAGGATTTGATAGCTGAGAGCAGTGGTACGATGCAAATGTCTCAATTCCAGGCTGCGATAAAGAAATCTTTTTTCGCTTTCATTTATTTTTCGTGCTGCTGTGGGGATACATACGATCAGTGCAGCTTTCCAGGTCTTTCTGGTTCTGTTCTATTCGCGTAGCACGCTGCGATTTTTTTATAATGTACCTCTTACGAGCAGTTGAGCATTCATGTCCAGGTGCTAAGCTTGTCGCGGAATGTACACGAGTGAAGCCTTGCACGTCCCTTCCTTATAGGTCTCTGTCTATTTTGGATAGAAACTTCTTTCCTTCTTTTGTTAAGTGTAGTTCTTCCATTCCATCTGAAGACCCCTCTGAAGTGACATGACTACCGGCTGCTTGGAAAACCTTGATGAAACTTATGAGCACGAAAGAGTCGCTTCACAATGCCATGGTCCTCGTAATGAGGATCGACAAAGACACCGCAATTTCGAGGTAGTGGAAACTTTATTTTCTGGTTACTGAATTCGTTAGCCATGTGCTGGCCACAAAGTTTGCTCGCCTTATAATAGATCACTTCAATTTATTGTGGATCTATTAAGTGAAGCATTGGTAGCTTGCCCTTCCGAGCAAACTATGTAAGCTGCACAGCTCTAAAACAAAACCATATTAAGTTACCTCATCAAAGTGGGATTCTGATTTTGTCGCATGCTTCTGCGAGGTCCAAGATTAGTGATTTGGCTCAGAGTGGCTTCTTCCCGTGAGCTTGCCCTGCAGAATTCAAAAGCAGCTTAATCCAATCACACAAAATCTTCGGCATGCGGGCCACCTTAACAGATAGTCAAGTGTGGCTGTTCCACTGCGTCCAATTGCAAGAGCTAGTACTCGTCTCTCCTAACAGCGGAGAGTTTTTTGTGATTAAAAATGAAAAAGCGTGATCTCGTGCAGTGCTGGAAGACGAAATTTGCAGTTGCCTCACAAGTCATGGTGGAGCTTGACTTGAGATCTCAATCTTCAGTACCCTTATGATGGAGCGAGCATCACTTACGGACCCAGCAATGCCGATTTATAGTTGTGGCTCGTCACGAATCCCTGTCCTTCTCTTCTAGATATATTTGGCCAATTGGATCTGGTAAAATCTTCGTTATGAGACTGTCGAAAAATTCCACGAAGCTCCCATGCTTGCCAGCAACCAGAATCCCGATGGTACCACAGAGTTTCCCAATTTGGAGGTCAAGAGCATCCTGGATCACGCTTCTATAGCACCGGATTATGTTGTTGACTGCAACCATGTCGATGCAAAGCCCGAGCTCCTCTTTTTCATTGCATCGAAGACTTGAACTAGACAAAAAGAATAGAAACTTGTCATCATTTTATTGTAAGAAGAAATTTTTTAGCTTACCAGTAGTGGATTGATTTGAGGGCTTCCTACCGCTAGAACTATTTGCAGTGGCTGTGAATTCGGGGGCGAGATAGTGGAAGCTCGGCTTGTTCCTGCTTCATACGTAAGTTAGAAGGCATCTTACCAATTTGCTGGAGCTGCCGGAGCTCGATCCGGATTCTCAGCTGATAGATGAGAACCAAGTTCACCAGTACGAAGATCACGCCAACAGCAGCGCTGGAAAATCCACTTGACGCGCTCACGCATCGACACTATCGCAAGAGAGGTGAAGCCGTAATAATCCAGCAGCCGATCCAAGAAAATCCCGGCCCTGGCGATCCAAATATTTCTCCTTCGCGATGGATTCTGCCACGGACGATCATGCCAGCTGTGGCGATGGAGACCTAGGGGGGAAGAAAGACAACGCCTCGAGAGAGATCTTACATGCGACGTGAAGAGATGCGAAGAATATACCAGAGATACTTGTGAATAGGCGGGAATGGACACGTATTGCTCGATGGCGCTGGAGCTCGAGATCCGTCTTTCTTGGATTCCGAGGGACAATCAGCGCAAGAGGAATTTGTGGCTTATGAACTCGATCATATGAGTAGATCTTCTCCTAGAACGAGCTGTGCTCTTTTCCTGGAATTTTTTGTTCAGGTAGTACAAGCGCAATGTTTTGCCACTACTCCCAGGACATCGCATTAAGGTCACGAAAAAGGTTTCACTTTCACTGATTGGATTAAGCTGCTTTTGAATTCTGCAGGGCAAGCTCACGGGAAGAAGCCACTCTGGGCCAAATCACTAATCTTGGACCTCGCAGAAGCATGCGACAAAATCAGAATCCCACTTTGATGTGCTGCTGCTGAAATATTCAAAGAGACCAAGAGGTAGACTAAATATGGTTTTGTTTTAGACAGGATAACGAGGACTGAGAAAGTTTTTTTTGTCACTTTTAATTTTTTTCTCCTTCTTTCTCCTTCAGATGGCCAAGTGCTAGAAGCTTTAAGAAATTTCTGGTCACCGGATGTTGATTGGCAAACATGGTGTGTCTGGTAAGAACACCGCGACAGAGTTGAAGCGATGATTGACGATTCCAACAAGAGAGGCATATAAGTGATTAAAACAAGAAAGTATTTTATAATTTTAAATTAGAAATAAAACTTTTAAACTTTAGTGAGGTATCATTTAAATTTATAGAAACATATAATACATAGTAAGTTATGTGGTATTATATTTTTCCACATCTTTTTAATTTTTTATTTTAACTTGAAGTAAACAAATACATTATTCACTCCAACATATATTTTTCCCAGCAAAGCTGGGATCTTTACTAGTCTTTTTACATATCAACTATTAAATTAAAAAGTGTTTAGAAAAGTTTATAATTTATAAACATTATATATACAAGATTTATCCCAAAATATTCAAGTATATTTTAGATATAGCAATTAACATGGTATAGGACTTGGTGAATGTAAAACATGCCTAAGAAAGAGCTACATAATATATCAAATAATCAGTCTCTATTATCCATACTATATACCTCGTCTACACAAATGAATTGATGCACTTGGTTGGCTCTATGGAAAACAACTTACGAGTGTCTTTCCAGTACTTTACATATGAAGAAGTTTTAAGCCCCAATTATAGTTGAAATGGTTGCTTCAAACCAAATTTTATGCTGTGTATGGTAAATACCTCCTTGGGCATCATTCAAATTAAGGTGGCCAACCAAAGAATGGGCTTTAATCTTTATGGACCAATCCACCACACAACTCAGAGATCCCAACTGCTTGGAGTTCAATTGTCAAATGTGTCTTTTATGCTGATTCCTAGAGCATCATCTTTAATGCGGTAGTCATATTCAAAAGCTCCTAAGTAAACATTTTAAAATAGAAATATATCCACGTTTTACATTTACATGATCATGTTCTTGTAGATGTCCATACGTAACCTTGGAGTGGCCATGGCTTGCAGTGGAGTCTTGAGGTAGCAAGCACTATTGAAAACCTCTTCCATGGACGGTGTCGTCCCCGGTACAAAGTTCCAGTCAAAGCCGTGAATTAGATTTGCCACGAGCAGCTCCACTGTTCGCAATCCCAGGGACATTCCCGGACACTTTCTCCGCCCGGCTCCAAATGGGAGCAGCTCAAAGTTTTGGCCTTTGACATCGATGGAGCTCCCCAAGAAGCGCTCCGGCTGGAATTGTGTGGGATTCTCCCACACTTCCGGGTCCATGTGCACGGCCCAAGCATTCACCAGGAGAGTGGTCCCTTTTGGAACGTGATAGCCGGCAACTGTGACGTCCTGGGTAGACATGCGTGGGAAAAGTAGCACTCCTGGAGGATAGCACCTAAATGTCTCCTTGAGGACAAGCTGGAGATAGTCGAGCTTTGGGAGGTCGGATTCTTGGACCATCCGGTTGCCGCCTACGACTCTGTCAAGCTCCTGCTGGAGCTTGATCAAAACCCGAGGATTGTGCATCACCGAGGCCATGAGCCACTCGCTTGTGGTGGCAGAAGTATCGGTTCCAGCGACAAGCATCTCCTGGAATGAAATTTATGGCAATCACAAAGTATAGAAGAACTCTTACCAAA